TGTGGAAGAAAACATAAAGAATCCAAAATTTCTACCTGACTCCACCCATTTGCTCAGAAATCCACCCAGAAACATTTAACTTTGCATCCATCCTAGCTGCTGCAATTCCATGACCACTGCCTCTCAATCGGTTCTGGAAATGAATATAAACCATTAGACTAAATTAAGTTTCAGTTCTAGAATTTCCACAGAATCCCCTCTAAGAAATCCAAAATATATACCTCCATTCTTGCTTTGCTTTGGGATACAAACTGCTTGAACCGTTGTTGGTCTGTAAATTGTACTTCTTGAAGAACACAATTTATCTACAATTGAATGACATGAAAAAACCCTTTGGACAATCAAACTTTTGATGGGAACATATTTTCCAAAAACAAACTATAATCAGCAGAAAGCAATCAATCTACAATTTGTTGAACCATTTTTGGTACACAAACTGAAATGTAGCAACAATATATCACATCTATTCACAAAATCAGAAAAGAAAGATATACCAGATTAAATAGGTCATCAGCACGCCCAGCCATTGATTTGCCTCGAACTATTATATGGCTGCAGGGATCTTCCTTGCCTTGTATAGATGACGTGAATGGATAAACTGAAATTCCTCCAGTTTTCCTTCCAATCAATTGATTAAGTTGCACAAAGGATAAGTCTTTTGTACCCATCTCCAGTAATGACTGACTGCCAAAGTTTATGCGGAAATAGAAATGTGAGATGCTGTTGATAGCTCTTTTAAACAAATAAAATTAAAAAAAAAAAGAAGTCAGTCATAACTTATTTGCATTACAACTATTATGTTCTAAAAACTGATTTCAGAGAAGACACTTCCTTCTCTCATATATTAAAAGAGCGACTTATAGAGCAAATAGCTGCTAAAGGTCAAGCTATAGATTGACTAAAGATGGTATTTTCTAACAGAAAGTTTGTAAAGAGGTTTTTGGTTATGGAAATGAATGCCAATAAATTTCACCTAACTAGGCAGAACGGCTACTTGAAGTTTAGGTGCTTTATAAGGATAACACTGATTACCAAGCAATTGGAATGTGAAAAGTATGGTGATTTGCAGAAAAAGAGTATTGAAGGAGGACCCTAATATCTAAAATGATGCTACAACATATAAAATTGCCCTTCTGTTTAGAAGAAAAGATTTACATTAAACATCCAAAAGCCGATGCACACTGATCACAGCTACATCATAAGCGGTAAGAGACTTACAAAGGAATTCAAATAATGATATGCAATTTAGCAAACTATGTGGTAGATAAAAAGGAAAACACCACCATTGTTTAAACAAAGCCAGTGAATTTGAAATATCTTGTCTCAGTTTAATCTTGAAAATAACTTAATACGTTTAGAACAAAAAACAAATAGGAGAGAACAGCCTTCATAACAAGAAAAAGAAAACTAGCTTTCAAGGCAAGGTCCATCTCACCAGAACAGTGGTACTAGAGGAAGAAGTTCTTGCTTCAGTGAACTCATATCAAAAACAATTTCAGTGTAAAGGACATCATTTGTGAAGAGATCATGCTGCAGAACCTTTACACCATTGATATCTCCAACCTACACACAGATGTACAGAAACGTAGCACACACAAAGCTGAAAGAGAACATTTAGGGGAAGAGATGGGCATTAGGCTTTATGCTAACCTCTGTGGGAACACATATTGGTTCCTTGGGAATATCATATAAAGATAGGCTTGGAACACTTCTCAAGGCTTCTGGAGGGTCAGGAGTTTCTTGTTTGAGTTTCAGCTCCTGAGTAGCACGTGCTAGCTCCGCTAGATCTTCTTCTGTCATGCTGGCTTTAACTTTATTCAAAATTTCTTTTTCGGCTGCTTCATCACGAGAAGATTTCTCCGGATCAGGCTGACAGAAAAGAAGTTCATTGGTTTCTGCTTAGTTACTGTAAAGAATTAAGTAAACATGGGAAGGGAAGTTTTGGGTTAGAGAAATACCTGCATTTCTATGGTAACACAATGGGGATTGTTCAAGATGAATTTCTCTATTAAAGGAGAGAAAACAGCCTTGGAGCCTTCCTCAGCTATTCTGGCTTTCAGGATCATTAAAGGTTTCTCATATTTCAATGGCTCAAAAGGATCCATATCATATATCCACTTACCCTATAAAGTAAAAGCACGATAAAATCATACATTTACAAAGCCAACAAAAAAAAAAATGAGACAATGGACAATATTCTAAAATTTAAATTAATCTAGGAATGAAAAACTTACAATGGAGCGAAGCATCAGAGACAAGCCACGAGGAAACGACCCAGTATTGTTCTCTCTGAGTGAAAACTCAATCGTATTCATAGATGCCTCCACAGCATCCGTGTCAAAACCTTCTTCTGCTAGCTTTTTAATAGAACTCATTATTAATTCTTCTACTTTTGGGATGTCATCTTCAGAAACTCCCTTCAAGCCAATGCTAAACTGAGGCTGAAGAAGTTCATCTTCCACCCCGCCACCAATAATGGCATCTCCAAGACCACTTTCGAGCAACACTTTCCTCAAGGGAGATGCAGGAGTTCCCAGCATAAGATGATCCAAAAACCCAAGGGTAAGTTCAGTTTGCAAGTCCAAGGGTTTATCAGAGAGCAACCAATTAAGGCATACCATGTGCTTCTTCTTCAAATCACCACCTTCACCAACAGGGTATTTCTCAACAATCCTGACAGGTTCTGAGAAAAGCTTCTGTGGTTCAACTTTTGATTCATCTGGAGCTGTGCTTGTGTCAAACATATCTAGATATTCTGAGATAGAAAGAGTAAAATGTTACAGTTTAAATATAATATAACAATCAGTAAGACCACAAAAATAAACAAATGACATAAATATAATGGGAAAAGACCAAGAAAGGCTTCTCAAACAAGCATTATATATCTATAAACTGGAGAAGAGAAAATGTAGTGATACTTCGTCTAACTGTCTGATTTGCAGAGGAAAAGGAAATGGAAAGAAAAAAGCTGTTTTATACTGAATTTCAGTCTAAGAACTTAAATATAGTACATAGTTATACCCAAACAATTAAAAGATTACAGTACTTTATTGTGCTGAAGAAGATGCAATAAAACTACCTACTGCATAACCAATTTATATTATGGGGCATCATTTTGTCATTTAATCAGCCAAGCTGGCAACAATTTCAAAGCCTATTCTTTCTTCTGAGGTTTCCAGTCTCTATAATATCCTTATATGCAATTCTATTCTGCATCACTTCCCTTTTGAACAGAGTCACCACATATTTCAAGGGAGATAAGGGGTTATCTATTAAGGAAAAGTGCCATCCATACATGAATAACAACTGCAATAGTCATTTATTACCGCTTAGGATACGCAAGCGTTCAATTGGATCATCATCTCCATAAAACCATATCCTAGCATTGCTGGGATGGTAATATTTGCAGTGAAATTCCTGTTATTTGGTTCACAAAATGAGAGAAACCATATTTACCATCAGCAATACCAATAACCACTAAAGCAACAGACATAAGCACATTAATCCATAATCTACATGCATGAGTACCTATGAATACACAGATGAACCAGAATAAAGCATACGCCCAAACACACACCATGCTCAGTGAAAAAGACCAAGAGTCTTGCCTTGTAACCAACAGAAGTTGAAACATAAAACTAAATGCAAGAGACATCATAAGCCATATCATTTTGGAACTATGAACTAGAGGCTAATAAGAATTGCATTTACCACAAGCTTAATAAAAAGTTCATGTAAACAAACCAACAGTACTCATATGCAATAAGTGTTTGTAAAACATTCCATTTTCAAATCCTATTAAGTCTCAGTCTGCATCTCCAAGACATTGAAGTAGGCATTATAGACCTCCCAAATTCAACAATTAAAATGCATTTCCTGGTTAGAAATAAAGTTCTTTGCAAAAAAATAAGTTTCACTTTGAGAAAAAAATGATCCCAAAAAAAAAAAAAAGGCTTTTCCATAGCTTTGTTAGCACTAAGTTAGAATGATGTAGTCTAGGTTTCAAACGTAACAAGTTGTACTTTTACCAAGATAAAATGCCTAATCAGTCATCACACACCTTTAGAAGATCAAAACATTAAAACATGTCTACCAAAGTAATTAATGCAGCCTACCTTAAATTCCTCAAATGTCAGCTTGGGAATAACTTGCGGATCACCTCCACTGTCAACGCCATAGGTATTGTCTGGAAAGAGAGCCTGCACAGAAGTTACATGAAACAGTTGTAAATGGAAAAGCAAAGTTCCCTAGCTATGTATCATTAATGTATGTGTTATGCTGCATTCCTGCACACAACCATGCATGTGAGAGAAGGGGAGAGGGGCAGGAGCTTCTTAAATTAGCCATGAGAGTTTAAATACTCAAATCATCAGCAGCATCTCAAAAATATATAGACTGCTGATTAATATATAAACACTATATTACAGAATGTAAGAAAAATGCATAAATAAGCAAGAAAAGAAAGGAAAACTTACCCGCTGAGCAGTGCGCCCTAATAAATTATCAGGCTGGGAATAGACACCTTTCATCTCATTGAAAACAACTCCTACAAGAAAACACAAAGGAAAAAGAAAATGTTGTCAAGAGTAATGAAGGGACCAGCACATTCCTGAGGGCTAAAGAATGTTTGACACACAAGCAGAGGATTCCAGAGGCCAAAGGCGTGAGTGTATAAGCATACACACCTTTATAAGTTATATCTTCTGAAGTCTCATTGAGCTCATAGTGCCAACCCTCCTGTTGAAAAGTTTGGAAGTCCTCAATGCATTTGGGGAAGAAGACAGCATCCAAGTATACATCAACAAGATTGTAAAAATCCTGTTCAGAAAATAAAACGAAGTCAAAAACTGAAAAATTAATAACATTAAACATTTCATTCTCACAACACACTAACTAATTTCTCCTTCAAATTCATGTTTGCACATGTGTGCATGAGTGTTGGGGGGTTCAGGGAAGGAGATCCAATTGGTGCTATCTTGCATACTACTGTGTATCAGGCTGCCCTCTCTTTTGCAATTTCTCAATATAATCAGATGCAAAAGTTTTACCTTTGCATTGGTGGAAGCAACTGGATAGCAAGTCCTGTCAGGATATGTGAATGCATTCAGAAAAGTGTGCAAGCTCCCTTTTAACAATTCAACAAATGGTTCCTTCAATGGATACTTTCTCGAGCCACATAGTACACTGTGTTCCAAGATGTGAGGAATCCCGGTGGAATCCTTCCTGCATTGGCACATAGGAAATCATAAGAACACATCCAACTATCAATTCCAATCATCACATAAAAGTCTTCTAAATGCCGAACATCATTATTCGGCTACTGAATCCAAGCACTCCACCATTACCAATTCAAATTCAGAATTAACCATGAAAGAAACCATTTTTCAAAACATAAATAACAGACAATAGTAAATTTAGAATGTGTAATATACTAAGCTGAAGCTTAATTAATTCTATACAGGGAATTTGTAAAAAAACGAAGAACTTACGGTGGAGTTCGAAAAACAATTCCGAAAACCTTATTCTCGTCATCGTTTGAAACGGACATGACCTCGGCACCAGTTTTTTTATGCTTGAAAAGAACAGCTTTTGATTTACACTCTCCAATGAACTCTTCCGATACTTTCTCGAATCCAAGCTTCTCCGCAACTTCATCATCAACTCCAGCAATATCTAACCAAGAAGGAAAGCCAAAACTCGTTTTAATTCATCTAACTTAGATTACAAGAACAATAGAAAAAGAAGAACATATTACCTGGATAAGGCTGTGTAGGAGAGGCGACGGCGCGTGGGGATAAAGAAGTGAAATGTTTGTTGCTATAAGTGAAGCGAAGAGAGGAGCGAGAAGAAGCTACGGAGAGTGACCTCCAGTTGTTGCGTCGAATAAGGGAGCGATTGGGAATGAGACGGCGCTGATACCGTGCGGCGGCTGAGACGGTGGATGATTTGGATAGAAATGAGCGAGAGTGTTTGGGAGCCGAGAAGAGGAACTTGTTGCAGGCGAGAGAGGAACAGGAGAGCGAGCGGAGAAGCGCTGTTCTTTCCATTGGTGATTTCCTTTACTGGAAAGATGGTAGTACTATATTAATTATTTGGTGGGATTTTTTTTTTCCTTTTTCAGAAACCCTGGCCTAAGTTGGGGGTTTATATTAGGAGGGAAAATAAAATATCACAAGGTTGCTTGAATACTCTGAAGTCTGAACCGTTGGTTAATTCTTGCCCAGAAATATTACGACAGACAGGAATAAATAAATAAAATCCAAAAATACAAATAAATACAGAAACACAATTTTTCTCTTTTCTTGGAGCAAAAGTGAGAAATGTTTCTCTCTTGTTCATCGGCCAAGTCATTTTGCCAAAATTTTCTATTTTTGAAAATGGTTTCTTCTTTTTTTCTTCTTTTTTAATCTTCTATTGGACACTTGGACACGAAAGAAAGGTCAAACACGTCATATTTAGATTATACAAATCTTATTTTAAATGAATTAAATTTTATATTTATAAATAAATTTTTTTATTTAATAAATATTTTCTGAATTCTCCTATGTCTCAAAAAAATATTTTTTAAATTGAAAATATAAATTTTTGATAAGAAATATTAAAACTTATTCAATTTTCTATTAATATGAAATCTACATTAATTCAAGTTACTATATAAGTGAAAAACTCTATACAACGAGAGAGTTGCCCCCTCTTATAAATTAAGTGGATAAAATGGTCACGCAATTTATATCAAAAAAAGATAATATAAACTTTTTTTCATTTAATAAATATATTTTCGAATTAAAAATGTAAGCAGGAACGTCAAGCTCCACATCCATTACGTTCAATCCCCCAATAAAATGAAAATGGGTTTAGATGGGCTTGAACAGTGATCCCTTGATACTGGCCCACGGACCAGCTATTGTTCGTCCGTAATTGGGAAGTGGTCCACTCCCAAAAAGGAAGTAAAAACGGAGCTCAAGCCTTCACAAAAAAGAGAAAAAATAATACCAACTCTTTGACTGGCTATTGGTTGT